AAACACATCCTTCTTGGGTTAAAGCCATGGAACAAGAACTGCAGGTATTAGAGCACAATGGGACTTGGGAACTCACATCTTTACCCCCAGGCAAGAAAGCCATTGGCTCTAAGTGGGTTTATAAAATTAAAAGAAATAGTGATGGTACAGTTGAAAGATTCAAGGCTCGGTTGGTAGCCAAGGGCTATAACCAACAGGAAGGGATAGACTTCTATGACATTTTCTCACCTGTTGCTAAATTGGTTACTGTGAGGATTTTTATTGTTGTGGCAACCATGCATAAATGGAATCTCCACCAAGTAGACGTCAACAATGCCTTCCTTCATGGACATTTAAATGAGGAAGTCTATATGATTCCACCTCAAGGGTACTTCAAGGCTAAAGCTGGAGAGGTTTGTAAACTCAAGAGGAGTCTTTATGGACTCAAACAAGCATCAAGAGAGTGGAACAAGGAGCTTACCCATAAACTTTCTCTCTTTGGGCTCAATCAGTCCTGCCATGACCATTGCTTATTTACTCTCAAGAAAGGCAGCAGCTTCATGGCCATCCTCATTTATGTTGATGATGTGCTTCTCACAAGTAATGATGACAGGTTAGTGACTGATTTGAAACAATTTTTGGATAGAGAATTTACTATCAAGGATTTAGGAGTTGCAAGGTATTTCTTGGGAGTGGAAGTGCTCAGAACTGAGACAGGCACCACCTTGAGCCAGAGAAAGTATGTTCTTGATTTACTTGATGATATGCATATGATGGATTGTGCTACAGTTGCTACTCCTTTACCTTGTGGGCTTAAACTTCAATCTGGTGAAGGGACACCAATGACTGAACCTGATTTATACAGAAGAGTTATAGGCCTACTGCTTTACTTGAATCTGACTAGGCCTGATATTACCTATGGTGTCAAACAACTCAGTCAATTTGTTCATGCCCCTTGCTCTTCACATTGGAATGCAGCCCTGCACATTTTGAAATACCTAAAGGGAACTATAGATCATGGACTTTCCTTCTCTCCAGCCAGTCCTTTTACTCTCTCAGCTTACTGTGATGCTGACTGGGCATCATGTAAGGACACCCGACGATCAGTCATAGGTTATTGCATCTTCTTTGGTGGCAACCTGATTTCTTGGAAGACCAAGAAGCAACAAACCGTCTCCCGCTCATCTGCTGAAGCAGAATACCGGGCTATGAGCACCACCGTCTCTGAATTGCAATGGATTACTTATATCTTGTCTGACTTTGCCATCACTGTGCCTTATCCTATTCCACTGTGGTGTGACAACAAAGCTGCTATTCACATCTCCGCTAACCCGGTGTTCCACGAGCGCACTAAACATCTAGAGATCGATTGTCACTTTGTGCGTGACAAATACAAAGCAGGCTTTGTTGTTCCCTTGCATATTTCGACCAAGCTACAACTCGCTGATGTGTTCACAAAGGTTCTGCCTGGACCTCAAGCGCGCCTTTTGCTGTCCAAGATGAGCATGTTCTCTCCTAGCTCATCTTGAAGGGGGG